TTTAATAGAAGATAACACATCTATCTATACATTAAAGGCTACAAAGAAGGCTAAGAAGGCCTTAGGTATTCTAAAGATTTAGTAGCTAGTAAACTTGCTTAACTTTACCTTTATTAAAAATGTTTAGCAGATCTTAAAATATTATCTAAAAAAGCGCTTTTTAAAGACTAATAGTAAAGTAAGGTAGTATTTTTTTAAAAAGTAAAAAAATTCTCTTTTAGTAACTATAGTAAGTACATTAAGTTAATAAAAGAGCGCTGTTAGGCAGTTATTAAGGCTAAAAGTAGACATATAAAGTAGTAAGACAGTAGTAGGATAAAATAACAGTATAATGCTTATTTATATAAATTTTACATAGAAAACAGCATTTTAAGAGCATTTAAGAATCGCTGGCCTGTGCGCGCGGGTGCAGCCCGTTCATGGAGGGGGGTTGTAAGGTGGAGAATCTACAAGAGGTGAGCTGGTTGACGGGGTAGTCTAGAAGCGTGCTCGTCCCCCACACTGTGTGTTCCCAATTTGATCGCAGCCCCAAACCCTTTTCTGTTGTTTGTTAGTCAACGGCTTGGTGTAGACCGTATTTAGTCCCCTAGTCAACGTTGTAAGGCGGGTGCAAGGGTGCATGGTCCAGATTCCCAGGGCCTCTATATATCACGTGACCAGGCCTTGGTCGTCCTTTCCCTCCGCCTCTGCCGTGACTCTTTTCTCTTCGCCCGGGCCACAACCGCCCCTACATCAAGCACATGGACTCTCTGCGTCGGTCTCCGCACTCTCGTTTCGCTCCCATGTGTCTCACTTCCTGCAACACCGTTCCTTCTCACCGTTCCTTCGCTCATGATTCGCCTCAACTGTGTCCCATGGTCTTCCGTCGCAATTACTTGCTAGTTCGGATACCCAATAATAACGCTGTCAGCATCGCACAAAGCAATATGTATACGAGAAGGCAACCAACCAAAGCCCCGCCCCCTGCATCCTTGGGGCCGGGTTTGCATCCCTCCCCCCAACTACACTCTTCTCCAGAATTTATGTCATCCAGCGGATCCTGCAAAACGTCTTCTCCGCTCTTCAATCAACCGATTTCAGACTTTCATTCATCTTACGTCTAATCCTCGATCAACTGACAATGGCGGGCGCGGATCCCGACAGGATGATCTATACTAAAAACAATGCCAAGAATACATCGAAGCATTCCCGCCACTCGAACGAGAAGACTACAAGCGAAAAGAGTTGGAGAGCGCCTGCAACCATTCTTTTGGCGCTTCTAATGGGGCTGGGGGTGGCGCTTGCACATCACTCTATGAATGTGCGCCTCAACAACAAACCCGTCGCGGAAATCAAAGTTTCCCAGGCGTGGATCTCTCGATTTAGTACTGCGCTTGCTTTTCTGACTAATACGTGTTTTATCGTTAGTGTCGGGGCCTCTTTCACACAGCGTCAATGGTTACGATTCCATCAGCAAAGCTTCACAATCGCCCAAATCGATGCGGTAACGGGCATTTTGGGGAATCTACTTGGGTTCTTCAGCAGCCGCGTTTGGTTCCGGCACCCTATACTGGTTCTCACTGCCCTTGCGTCATGGTGAGTTGCCCATCATGGCTGTTCTCATTGCCTGACTTCCATAGGGTCATTCCGCTGTCGGCCGTGGTCACTCCTGGTTCTTTGTCCGTCATCCCTTTGCGAACCACAGCAGCGATGAGTCTTCAGGTCCCGCAACCCTCCTTCAATCGTACATATTATGGATATGCATACGGCTCTACTCGTTCGCACCCCAGAGTTGCCACAATGACAGGCGAACGACTTCTGAGAATAGCATATGCGACCGCTTCGTCCACCCAGCTAGTACCTTTATCCCCAATCTACCAGAACTACTCGTATCATCTGCAGTTCAATGGCCCAGCAGTAAGATGCGGTGCGGCAAACGAATCCCTAATCCATGACATCTCCCAGGAGTCCAGCAACCTTACCTCTAAAGATTTTGCCATATACGCGTCGTGGGTCCCCGGTCCCTCCGAGGGGAATCGGCTCGATAGAACGGGATCCGCGACTCTTCTGAATGGAACGATATTGATTGGTCGGACTCTTGATTATGTATCAAGAGATGGAGCACGAATCTTCATCATGTCAAACGTTCCTCCAGCGTCCTTTTGGGAGGTGTTTACAGAGGACATCGACTCGCCCAGATACCGAGTCAACGTAACCGAGTGTTTGTTGTTCAACGCCACTTACGACGTGGACTTTAATTTTCAATACCCGCAACATACGCACCGCGTAAACATTTCGACTTGGCTGAACCCTGTATCCTCCCCTCTCAATGACGACTCCTTTCTCATCGGGGATGGGAGCGAAAATACGACAGCTGATGCCATTATTTCGTACTGCGCACTCATGAACGCTTTTGGGAGTTTACTTGTCGGTAAAATGGGTCTGGAAACCGTGAACGCAAGCTACTACGCCACCAACTGGCAAATGATAAAAATTGATTGGGCCCGCGCCGAAGCCGTGGAAGCGGGTCTGGAGCAACTCTTCCAGAATTTCACGGTAAGCCTGCTCAGCGACAGTGGGCTAACGTAGGTATCCCTATCTGCACATAGTCCCAAGCCAATTGCTTGTTCTAACTCGAACTTGATAGAAAAAACTCCGCGGATGCAGCCTTCGTCCCCGTGACGGTAGAGACATGGCCCATTACCTACATCTACAACCGTCCCGACCTCCTCCTCCCCTATGGGCTCGCCTTCCTAGCAACGACCATTTCCGCCATGGTTGGTCTCCATGCCTTCTTCGTCAACAAGGACAGCTACCAGAATATCTTCTCGACATTCCTCCGTGTGACGAATGATTCTTATCTACGCGCTTTAATCGATCCGGGCGATGCTGGGGCGGATCCATTACCGAGGCATCTGGCACAGGTGAGGATAAGGATGGTACGAGAAGAGGAAGCGGAAGATCGTGATGCTGGAAAGGAGCCGCATACTCGGCCATCCACTGTGGCTTGTCCGATGCCTCACTGCCGCCTCGGAATTTCGCTTGAAGTCTACCCCTCTGTCACCCGCCGCGGGGACGTTAGAATGGGACAGAAGACTGCAGCCCAAGTCTGGTCGGGTTCGTAACTTGTCACATCTCGTTTCTGTCGAGTTTAATTAATGCTACGAGCCACAGGGCTGGAAGGGGGCGATGACTCTGTGCAGGCTGATGCAAGTTCATTTCTAGAAGAAGGGTGGTGCGAAAGCTAACGATAAACGAGAAGGAAAGCGCTGGGCTGTAGTATTCAGTAGCATCACACATTTTACAGTACCAACTGCAAAGGAAACTCATGTATCAACATTTTCTAGACAGCGCTCGCTGGGACGCTGTGGGACGCTTTTAAACTGGTTAGCTGACTTAGCAACTGCGCCACGCAATTGCACACCAGAGGCACGTTCAAAACTAAACCTGCACCCTATTAGCTAGGAGAACTTAGAGTGTCTAATATCTAGCCGCGATCCAACCTTGAGCTATGCCTGGCTAGCAACAGGGGCCTATTTTGGGTCTCGCAGCGGATCACGTTTTAGTCCCCGCAGTGGACCAGGTTCCAAGGCCAGGTTCCAAATTTTAACCTCCCAGATCTAATCAGATCGTGGCTTGTGCTCAAGCCCTCTTGGCGCCCATCAAATCACGTGCAGCTTATGCCGCCTAGCGGTAACAACGCCTGCTTCAACGTCTCTCTTTATCAACTCCGCAAAATCAGCGCCCCTCGTACAAGGCTTGTGCCGGTGCGGGTCGGCCGCCCTCCCTGCTCGTGGTGGCAAAGTGTAGAGAGTTTTAGGAGCATCGCTACCTTTCCTGCTGCCGAGTCTCAATTTAACCGCGCCTCGGCTGAACCTTTCTCTAGACCGCCGTGGCGACACAGGAGGGCTTGGCAACCCCAGATGCACCACCTACATCCTCAGCCTTGTCGAGCTGAAGATGGACCATCACACTCTCTCGCGCGGCTCCTTAGCCTTGCCGGGGCCCAAAACAGGGCGATCTTGTCGGCATTGGGCAGAGTCTGCTGGCGATCGCTACGGAGACAGAGAAGACAGCCGAGCGATTCTCCCGGGACAAATCACGGTTGGACGACGCGGGACGATACTACCGGTTCAACGTGTTGAGAGGGCTAGAGGATATCGGGTTGGAGGAGTCGAAGCGAAAGAATGCTATTATTGCGACTACAGATCGATACATCGAGTCGCAGGCAGTATTCAAGCAGATGAAGACATGCGCCGACCGCATGCCTGGGAGAGAATGTTAGTGTTTTCAACGGCGTGGCTTTTAGTACGTAGCTGACTAGACTCTTTCGCCAGAATTAGTACATATATATGTGCCTTCTGGGTCCATCATTCATTTTCCCCAGCGTGCAACCTTCTTCACGACCTCGTTTCTCCCAGCAGCCCTTTCCCCCCAATCGCGAGATGGCTTCAAACGAGAGACAAACCTTTAAAGCAGAGAACATCTTCGCCGCCCTCTCGCACCTCGGCATCTGCGGCGAAGCACCATGCCTAGACGGCGAGTTCCGCGGCGGCCAATGCCACGTCTTCAAGGTCAACGTCCGGGACGCGGCAAGCCTCGCCGTGCGCGTGCCGCTGTACATGGACAACGCCGGCGGCCGGGACGCCAAGATCGAGGCGCTGCAGACGGAGCTGCGAAACCTCCAGGCGCTGGAGGCGAAGGGCTTCCCCTGGTCGCCGAGGTGCCGGGGGCAGAGCCTCACTTTCGACAACGCTGTCGAGCACCCCTTCCTCGTGTTGAGTTGGTTCGACGGCGCGCAGCTCTCCTGGAGCGAGGACTCTCCGCCACGGCCGGTGCGGGACAGGGTGCTCGGGCAGATGGCCTCGATACAGCTGGCCTTGATTGAGTGCACCCTGGAAAATGGTGCGTGACGTTGCTGGACAAATGACCGCGCTGATACGCTTGGCTAGGTTCTACTGCGACGGCGTATTTCGAGCGGCTCGCGGGGAACAGACGCACCCGGGTTGAGGAGGGCAGGATCCCCGGGCTTTCGCTGCAGGACTGTGCCGACCAGCGGGCGCTTCTCGACGCAGTGCTAGGCGCAGACCGAGACGACACGGCGCTGGCCATGGACCACGGCGACTTCAAGCCGGAGAACGTCATCATTGACGCTGAGTACAACATCCAGGGGTATGTACCGGGGAGAGGGTGGATGTCTGGACGGTGTGTTTCGTTTTATTCCTGTATGTGTGCTAATAATAGACCATCACAGACTGGGCGTTTGCGGCCCCGACTCCAATCCCACGCGCCGCCGGCCTTCCCCGCTTCCTGTGGCCGTCGTCGTTAGTTTCCGCCCCGAGTCTAGCCGTCCAGAGGGACCGAGAGGCCTACGTCGCGTCCTTTGCCGCGCAGTCGTCGCCGGCTGCGTCGTACATGCGGCGGTGGCAGGCCGCACGAGACATGGACTTTTGCACGCTCTACCTGGAGTCACTCTTCAGCAAGGGCATGCACTTTCGTTTGGCACGGGCCGGGTGGGGACTGCGTTATCGCGAGCTTGCTGTGAAGAGGGACACGCGAAGGCTTGGAAACGCCCCTGAGAAGGAGAATAGGTGGGTGACAGAGACCTCGTCAGAGGGCTAGGAGAATGAGTCTGCTCAATCTTTTCATGTAGCTCAGTCGCAATCCATGTGCTTCCCCTGGTCCCCGGCGCTCAGTTTTGGAACTCGCTCTATTTTTGACTGTACCCTTAGAATTTCTTGGTGTCCAAGATTCTGCTCCAACCTCAGATTTCCCGGACTGTGCGGAGGATGAGTTGAGGACGGGATAGTAAGTGATCGCGTTAGTGTACTAGCTGGACATAGCGATGTTATTTGGAAGATGGATTGTGAGAGAATGCAGCTAAATCCGGCGACAGCCAGCCGACTAAGGCTATTGATCTCACCTTGTTAGCGTTAGTCTTGTTGCGTTGTCTTCGAAGGCAGCATTCTCCTCGCGTAAGCCCTCGTCCGATAAGTCGTCCTTCTCCCTACGCCAGCCTTGCCTAGTCCAGGGCCATTGTCCTGTTGTCCTTCGGTCGTAGCGAGCGACGTTTCATATTCGCATGTATAGACTGGAGCGGTCGACGTCGTTTGGCGGTGGGAGTGGACTGCAGAAGCGTTTTCGGGACAGGCGGGCGAGAGCAGGGTTGAGCATCGGGGAGGAGTGTAGGTGCACTAGATGCTGCTAGAGTCGAAGCCAGGCGATGTGCTGGGCATGCGGAGCGAGGGGGGGGGGGATGTCTAAGGACTCGGTTGTTTGTTGTTGAGAATGTTTTAGTGACGACGCGCGACGGACAATGCATTTCGAAGTACGACGCCTCCAGCTGTCGGGTTGGACTTGTACCTCGGCATCTTTGACCTCTGTCCTTTACCGTAATGTGTCTAGCTCTGGAGTCGTCTATGAAACGGGTTTGAGGTGGGGTAGTGCAGGAGCATCAGACTGCCGGTTGCTTGCGCTAAGCCTCGCCGTGGAGAACATCGGTACGTACTGAGAAACTAAGCTGTTGCATAGCACTCGCGCTTTTGTCGCACGTTCTAGAGCAACGTCAGCTCAATTGAATCCTGTGCCAAGCAAAGGGGTTTTCTTGGCGCGGCAACGCACAAGCCAATCTTCAAGGTGCTCGTCGCTGAGATGAGGATAGCATACGAGGTCGTACTTGCTAGTGAGAGAGGCTGGAAATGGAGCTCAACGACGATCTCGTAGCGCGGTATGAAGCGGAGGCTCGGTTAGTAACGGGAGGGGTTGAAGGTTTGCCTGTATGTTGACAGGTTGAAGCCGTTTTGGCCAGTACTTCTAGCCACGGCGACGAGGACGCGGGCATTAGAACCTTGTGGCTGTGGATATGGGTAACAATTTCACTACATGCCGTAGCTCCGGGGGAGAAGGAACCCCCAATATTTGTTTCTGTATGCCTTGCGAACCCGATTTATACTTAAGGTGGTTTTTCTCTTGTTCGGAATGCGACATTCGAGTTGAGACGTTTGTGGAAGTTCGGGCGATTGATATATACAAGGCTAAGGCTGCGCGGGTTTAAATTTATTCCGAAGCTTGCATGACATTCTTGGCACAATAATTGAATTAGAAAAAGTCCCGCACTGATGCCTACCTAGGAATGATGCGAAGTGCATGCAGCACTTATATATTACAAGAGCCAGACCTCTGCTACCTTCTCTCCTCGCACCTACTCTAAGGCAGCATGTAGGCCAAGACCTTAGAGTGGAGCAGAAGACAAAGTTAATTGTGAGTTGTGAGTATACATAAAGTTCTAGGCGTCTCCAACAATCACTGAACACCCCATAAAATTGTTTCAAGACTACAATATAGGCGGAAGTGGGGATACTTGCAACGGAAATATGGTTTCTCGATGAGTCTGTGCTCGAGGTTCGGGTTGCGGAGGACTGACATGATTGGGGGATGCACGTGACGGAAAGAAGCGGCTTTGGAAATTCGGAGGATTCCCATCGCCCCAGCGCGTCCTCCGACGATCCATGTACCGGCGTTGGTGGGGCTGAACTCTTGGCTCGAGACACCACAACGGCCCAACATTAACAGGCTCATCCGCATATCCGCCACCTTCTCTACAACATCGTCTAGGGTGCTCTTCTTTTAGGAGTGGCCTCATACGAACATCACACCGCAGCAATTGGCAAGGCTTGGATTCTTCCACCACCCCGATGACGAAAAACGCGACAATGTCCACTGTTTCGTCTGCGAATCGGAGGCATCACAACGTGATCCAGTTGGGCCTTACACTATGGAAGAGTTGCTGGAACAACGTGACGAAAACTACCTATGGGCAGACATGCTTCGAGAACTGCAGCCTACTTCCATTACAGACGCTCCATCGCCAGCGACGAACTCCCTATTGTATACGAACACCCCTATTAACACACACCTGATACAAGAACTCGACTCGGAATCCCTGTCACAAGAACCAACAACGCTACCACTGACTATGTCACCAAACGCCGCAAGACCGACATATGCTTCAGTTCTAAAGACCTCTCCACGATCTCAACCGCAATTGGAACCCAAATCGCCTCCGCTTACTCCTCGGTCGCCCTATGTGTATAAGCTTCCCCTGAATAGTAACTAAGCAAGCTTCACCCTCAATCTTCAACTTCCATCACCCGCAGGGGCGTTTCGACGATATGGGCGATTTGGCTCTATGGGCAGTTGGTGTGTATGGGTAAGCCGCCCATAGAGCTGATCCGCCCATGCACACCAACCGCCTATACACCCAAATCGCCCATATGGTCGAAACCCCCCTGCGGGCATCTCTGCTTACATAAAATTCGTCAATCATATGACCCCGCTCGCGAAGTGGCTGTGTGCCTAAATCGCCCATATCGTCGAAAAGCCCCTATGGGCTTCCGCTTACATAAAATTGGCTATAACCCTGCTCGCGACCAAAAAACACAAGTTATAAAGGATGATGAGAATGATCGTCGAAAGCTGGTTCAGGCTCCTAGCTTTTTGAAGTGATCCTAGAACAAATTGGCTAGGGAGCCTGTTTGAGTTATGTCACGTACTAGTGCAAGCAAAGAACTTTTAAACAGCAAACTCTAGGCTCTTACAAAATTCGACATCAGACGCACCAGAAAATATTACACTGTATTTTGCGTTATTTGAGAAGATGAAATATACGATAAAAATAGGTTTTGGAGCCGAAAAAGTACCCACAACATAATTTGTTACTTAAATGTCCCACTTAGCTCAGCTCCCCAACCGTTTCTTAGCGACAGTACATCCTTATGCAGGTTCGGTGTCCGGCTTTTGCATGCTGCTCGACTTTCTCTTGACACTAACTATAAATATTCTGGATTAGCTCCTACTAATTTGGTGGGAGCTAGTTCACAATTAGTATAGCTAGTGTCAAAGCGCTAGCGGCAGAAAGTGGAGCAGCGAATGAAAGCCGGACACCGAACCTGGATAGGGCTGTATGGTTCAGGCTCCTAACTTTTTTAAGCGATATCTGTTTTATACTGGGGGTGTAGTTTTGAGGCTAGAACAAATTGGCTAGGAAGCCTGTTTGGGTTATATTACGTGCCAGTGCAAGCGGAGGACGTTTAAACAGCCACGACAGGGCTTAATGCCATATTTAGCATAGAGCCCAAATGAGTGACGTTACTTAAAGTTCAGCATGCTAGATTTGAAATTCGTGAATTGAGAAACCGTCCTTGCTCCAGAACAACGCAGTAACGAGCGCAACTGAGTTCGGAATTGGTCTAGAATATTTGTATAGACAACTATTATCGGAGCCTATGCATGTAATTATTTTAATCTTTATTTCTGCGGAATTTAATATTTGCGAGTCCGTTTACGAACTTGTAAGATGGAAAACCAAATTTGGGAACTAAGTCCCCAAACTGGGACCCAGCGCGAAACGGGAACACAAGAACTAAATCTAAGATAAATTCGTAGAAACTGTTACAAAAGGGCTCTGTGGACTGGTCCCCTCCTACTACGGCGTCAAAGGGGACTAAATCCGGGAACCATGGTCGTAGCCCAAAACTGGATCTCAAAGACCAAATTCAAAAATGCAAAGGTCGCCTAACGTAAAACCAAATCCACATCCTGCGCACCTAGCTGTCTTTATTTAAAGTTTAAAGTTGATTTTTGTTCCTTTAACGCAGTAAAAGTTATATAAAGCTGACAGGCCGCTACTTGCAGCGTAACAGTTATGTCTTTAGAGCAAATGCAGACACTCGCACGGTCGAAGCGGGCCGCAAACGAAAATTTCTGAAAGCGAGTCGAAACCCTTGGCAGTAAATTCACCGAGCTGTCGCAGGGTTACGAGGCAGACGTATATTTTCTCGCATATCGCAATGGTCGATTTCATACCTACTCATCTACAGATAATGCTTCATGGCCTCTAAGCCCGGAAACTCTCGTAAGCCCCTCTCATTTCACATTCTACAGTACTAAGACTAACTTCTATCTTAAGAGCAAATTGTACCCCCCACCAATAAAGAAGTCGCCAGCACATTATCGCCGAATTAAACCTAAACGAGCGAAGGTGAATTCCCGCAAAGCTATCTTACATAAACGTTTATTAGTAGGCTGCAGCTTGACCTCGGCACAAAGCGAATTTGAGTACGTGATCGGGAAGAAGTAATAACGTAACGGACTTTCTTAGTTAAGGCTAGTTTTGCTAACTTATTGCTAATTAACATAAAACGCAGTGCAGAGACTAATGGCAGAAATCTAAATTCAACGTACTTCCTTACAGCAAATGACACAATAACGAAAGAGCGCCCCATTTAACTATTTCCTTCTCTTCCCTCTCAAGTAAAACATGTCTTCTTTCTCTTAGATCTCCTTATCGGGTTTTTAGCCTTTTCCTGTTCGTCTCCTTGGTCTATTTTATATCTCTCCCTCTTGCTACCGCGAGTTTCTGCTTTAACTCTCCTAGTGATATTCTCCATTTCTTCCGTATCACCTTCGATGCTGTCAAGCCGATCGTCCACCTCCCCTAGATGGCGCATGATGTAGCTGTTATATTTTTCGAGGATACTAATCCTCTCACTATGTTGGGCGAGTTCCTGTCTAAGTTGATTGTTTAAGCCGTTCATTGTCGCCCCCAACGGAGTAAGTTACGCTTTGAGAATTTTTAGAAGAACTTACTAAGCGGCTCGTATCGAGACGACTGCTTCATTTCATAAGGTAAGTGCTTTGTAATTTTTCCTTCCGTATTCACTTCGCCACTCCCTAAATTACTTTTACATTCTGGTGCTAACTAGATATCCATCTTGTGTTAGGAGCCTAACTTAATAGAGCGTAGTACTTATTACATATCTGTTCTGACGTAGCGACTACTTCATTCGAGCCGTCAAGTTTGACTAAAGGTGAAGTACCCTAACACGGTCAGCAGTTCCCTGGAAGGTATATAGTGTTCTCACGCACCATGTCCTGAGACGTGGGGTCCTCAACTGTAGCCCCCGAGTCACACATTTTTTAAGGTAAGAAGAGTAGCTCATAGGATTTTGGGGAACAAATGATTTGAACAGTGTTGTTTTAAGAAATATGGAGTCCTTTTATATTCAGCCCCTTCTACGGCTCAGCTAATAGGACAGTTTAAGGCAGACTCTTGCGCCTCCATGCAAGCTGTATCAAGGTTACGGCCATGGTAGATGGATGATCCTTCCCCTTCCACGCACCTTGGCTGTGCCTCCATAGGACGTCATACTGATTAATGAGGTATAGCATCAGCCCCTTTCTTCGACACCAGGACGGATATTTGAACGTATCTGGTCCAATACCGCTTCTCACAGCAATATTTGCCCAGCCCTTTTGCTACACTCATGCCTCAGCACATCCCTCCGTGTCTTACTCCAGCGCTACAGGGTTTGGATCTGCGTGGCCAAAGCCACTTCCTTGTGCCGTGGGCCCCACATCTATCAGGACGAGCATGAAGCTAGATTGCGTGGGTATCTTGACCGGAGCTCCTGTAAACGCTCATGTACCCCCAGGAACCCCTTATTGGGTGTTCTGCAAGGCTAACTTCAGTAATTTACAGGCCTTTATCATCTGTATCTAGAGCTCCCTATTCATGCAAGGCTTGGATTCTCTAGGGTCTATGTGGGCTTCATCCACTACCAAAGCGTTCAATGTTCAATACGATTCCTGTTCTTGTGGCGCTCCGACGTAGCAGACGTTCACTAGCAGCTACGCCTCAATGCCATGTACTAGGGCATGTTCATGGGGACTTCCCGATGGTGAAGCTGCCAGGCGTCCAGGATTGCCGACAGAAGAACATACTCTAATCAATTCGCAACCTCAGCTCATTCCTGGCACTAGTGATACCGAATCGCAGGCAATGTGAGTGTCAGTGAACCCCTATAGCCACCAATACGGACTTGAATCTACCCGCGGTGTCCGGTAGCCCCCTCTACCAGGTCCTCGATGTCTCACTCCAGCAATGCAGGGAATAAGTATGGGTGACCAAAGCCACCTTCTCGTTCCGTGTGCTCCACATCTATAAGGCAGCCTTTATGGTATCTTTCTTTCTTATTATGTAACCACCCACATACTTCAGGGGCCCATTCATGTCCTCTACGAGATGACTTCACTGATCAACGCGGTGACTAGTATACACAGCTGTTTCCTGGCTTGGACACACTAAGACTTACCTGCTGACGAAGTGTGCTGCATTCGAGTGATTGCTGATTTTGTCCAACCTCTGCAGTAACATCGCCGCCAGCTACGCCTCAACACTATGCGCCAGGAGACATTCATGCGGAGTTCCCGATAGCGAAGCGACTAGCCGTCCAGCGCCGCTGGCTGGAGAACGCGGTCGAATCGATCTGCAACCTCAAGCCATTCCTGCACTCGTGACACTAAGTTGCAGGGAATGTGGATGTCAGGAAGCCTCATAGCCACTCCAGATACGGAACTCCTTCCATTCGTGGTGCCTATTTTGCGCCCTCTACCGGATCAAGGTCGAAGCTCGGATGCCCAGAATGCTCCGTTCGCACAAGGATTCGTCCCCATCGCCGTTACGTGTGGTTTCAACCGGGGAAGCCGTCTTTCCTCTAACTGGGCGTGCTGCCGGGCGCAGCGGATGTAACAAGGGATGGTGAAGAATCCGGATACAGTAATTTATGAATCACGGCGCCGAGGCACCAGAAAAGCCTCATTCATGCGGCGCTTCCATCATGGCCAGGCATTGAAACAGGTCAGACAGACTGGCTGAGCGCGCGAGGCAGACAAAGACTAAAGCGTCTAGCATATAAGGAGGTACCGTTTAAGCCACAGCTGGTCAAATTTTCCGCAGTTCGTCTCCTCTTTACAATGGCACATGCTATTTTTATTAGTTATATTGTTTGCTGCTCAGTCGGGCTGATTCTAAGCGTTAGGCTCATATACCGGGATTTAAAGCCGTATAGAACGAACGAGATGAATAGGATGTTCAGGGCAGACAGGCGCTGGGAGAGGGCTTTGGCTGCTGTATTCAACGTCGCTCAAGCTGCCTTACTTGTGAATAATATAACAGCAGTTACAATGACGATCACCTCCACTAGCTAGTTCAACTGGATAGATCTATCTATTACATGCACCCTCTAGTTGATCGTCGGCACAAATGTAAGAACCCCTATTAGAATCCGTCAACTTGCTAACTCGTAGCATAAATAGCTTGCCCGCTATCTTCGTGCCTTATCCATGGCACGTGCTGTTACGTATCTGCCATATATGGCGATTATCCTCTTGACCGCACGCGATGTTGTCTTCTATCTTGAGAACCCGCTGACACGGGATTCGTCAGGCCTTCTTATCTAGAATAGGAAGACAAAGATATTTTTTATATACAAATTAGTAGTCCTTTCTTCTCTCGCTATAGGACCACTTATTTCTGCAGCAATTTTATACTAGAAGCTTTGTTAACATGAGAACCTAGAGCAAAACAATTAAGAGTACAAGGGTATACTGATACTCTTTATTGTTACAAACGTAATTGCGGCGCTGTGCGAGCTGTGTGGAACGACTGTAATTCTATACTCTGTCCTGTCAGCTAGGCCTGAAACCGACATCTGCTACGGAGTTTTCCTGGTACGTCTTTAACCCCTTTTTATTATGTAAGCTTACAGGGACTAGGCTTGTATATCTGCTCAGTTACTATGTGCCTTCAGCTTTTGCTTTCGCAATATTGCGGGCTGGTCCATAAAGAGGATTAGAGCCTGTATGGCTATACTACATCTGATACGTACAGATGGTGACAATTTACGAGGAGCAGTTGAGCTAGAAAGCCAAGCGTCCTAAGTGCAGGACTAGTTTAAGGAATTTGGACTACTATAAATAACGAAAACTGATGGATACATTATTGGCCTTGTACGATCCCGTTGTTGCCCTTTGTCTTTGGGCCTGTTTAGGACCCCTAGCTAAAAATAGCAAATGATTCTGTAAGCCTAGGACTACATCACATAACTGGCCTCCAGTCTGACTAATAAGGTCCGCCTACTACCGAGCTCAGATCACACACATGTACACATACACAACAATACACTTATACATGAGACACAATACGCGTGCCACCTTTGCTCACAGATTCTGCATCACTAAAGAATAGGTTGCTGGCGACAAGAGGGGCCATAAAGGACTGCCACCCTAGCGCTTACATCTCCAGCAATTATTAAGAAAGCAAAGTTCCTATAATCCGCACGCTAGTAATTGCTTAAGGACACTATTAATTTGAGATTAGTAGAGCTAATAAACTAAATACAGGGAAACTAAAAAGAACTTTGCAACAAATTTAGAATGTGGCTCGCCCAACGGGATTGTTTTGTCCTGTATTGCTTCCCAGTTTTGGTCCTACCATCAGATCCTACTTTTGGTCCTGTTTAAAGCTTCTAATAAAGAACAATTTCCTCCATATGCAAGACTAGAGTTAGAGTCATCAAAATGTCACCTCCCCTCAACCGGGCAGAGCTGTATGACATAACGAAAGCGCTCAAGTACTATTAATATAACGTCGAAGAAGACGATCTGAAAGCTAATGACTTTAAATGGGTGCTTAGGTTTGTCGGGGCCCTATTAAAGTCGGCACATTCATGAGGAAGAGGAAAGCTAGTGGAGAGGTCGAGGGCGGAGAAGGCAGGCCAAAGCGGATAAAAAGTGAATTTGACAACAATAAAGGCTTGCAGAAGAGGTCACGCAGCGAGGATCTTGAGTCTAAGAATGAAGCCAGCAAGTTGAAGAGATCACGCAGTAATGATCTCAAGGATGAAGGCGGCAAGTCAAAGAGAATGAGAAGAAGCGAGTCCAAGAGTGATGCCGGTAGGCTGAAGAGATTGAACAGGGAGAACCGGGACGGTTGTTCGAGCATCGGACCAAAGCGCACTTGAGAAGCTCTCCCTTCAGCCGGGCGTACTTCCGATGAGCCAGCGTCTGATTCTAGGCCCTAAGAGGCCGCGGCCGGTTGAAGAGCTGCCATGTCCTGCGGGCGTTTTTGACATTCCACCGGCACAAGTTCAAGGCTCTTATAATCGAATGTGAAGAAGTACTCCCTGTGGGAGGAAAGAACACTCTGTTCGCTTAGGGGTGTACGCATCTCCATTAAGTTGGGCGTGTGTGAATTCGTCTGCAACATAGATCAGCCGCTTGCTCGGCTTATATGCTCCCGTACCGCTTACAACGATCCACAAAGTTTTGCCTCAGCGCCTACGTCGTAACGATGATGTGGAAAGGCGGAGCATTCTAGATATCGAGGAGGCGGAACCAATGGCTCAAGGCGCATGATGCTTTGCGGGACTAGCTGCGGCACGGCGATATCGAGAACCCAGTAAGTGGTGCCATTGACGGTAGGAGGAGCAGTCCGATCTAGTCCCTTTAACCGCATGAATTCCTGGGATACCCACTGCGGCGTGACGGCTTAGGAGATCTAAAAATGCTGCCGCCACTTGAGGGAACAGACACTCTAGACCAATCCTTCAGATTGCATAAAGACCTACAATGCTGCCTACAGGGCAATCACCCAGGACATCCATAATGGGAGCTTGGTTGAACCACCACGATGCTCTTCCACCAATGCATGGCCACTGCTTAAGACATACCAGGGCGCCCGTTGCAAGCTATAGCGGCAACGCGGGCTGAGCGCTCAAGAACGCCTTGCGAGCAAGTCTGTAAGCCAGTGGATCGTCGACGATACCCAGGTCTTCGTGCACCGTGTTCATGCAACCTCTATATTAAGCTCAAAGCCTGCGGCATCGCCACTGGCACTGTCTTAAGATCCTGGCTTCGAGGCATATATGAGGCTTTCTCGGATCTACCCCTGCTGAAGCGTAGCGGCAGGAAATGCATATAAGACCACAGTGGCTCCCTGGGTTGAGTCAATATCTTTATGAGCTTCTATACCTCCTCTTTTATGACCAGCACACCATCTGCCTTTAATATATCATTCTGGCGGAGAACCGACAATTCCTTTGACAACATAAAGGCGTCGTCCCTTAAGGCCTAGATGAGAGCCATTAGAGAACGTCAGAAGCGTCGCCATGTCTATACTAAGTTCCCGAGTATTGATCAACAGCTCAAAGCTCAAAGAACGCATTCTTTCTGCTGGCCGGGAAACAATCCGTACCTTACGAATCTAAAGCGGGGACGCACGACAAAGAGATCAAAGGCACAAAAACATCCAAAAAGGGCGCGAGCTCCCAGTCCCAATGAACTCCCAGCAACTAACAATGCTGCGGCTGAAGGACGAGTCAGCACTTCTAAGGCCGAGAGTCCATCCGCGGCTCTGGAACCTTCTAGGCCGGGTAGTGAAAGCCAGGCCGATGGAGAAGGGGCGAAGGAAACTGAAAGCCGGAGCCTGAAAATGCAGCAAGGATCTCCTCAACCCACCGAAGAATATCTGCAAGAAGCGTCCGGAACGAAGCCTGAAGCGATAGCTGACGTCAGGAGAACCTGTGCCGCCGAGGCGCCTCGCGATCAAGAGCATTCACCCGCGGAAGTCGTCCTGCCTGTCGAAGCCGTCGAAGCCGTCAAAACCCAGGCGAAGGCCGGGCTGGATGAAGATATGCAACTAAGTCGAAACCGCGCCATATCTGAAGATAGTGAAGCTATCGAAGCAGCGACGCCGCAGACAGACACCGAAGCAATGAGCCGAGAACCGGGGACCTCGGAAAATAATCCAATCACGATTCCGGAGGATGACTCTGACAAGGGCATGGATACTGAGGACATGGATACTAAGGACATGGATACTAAGGACGAAGACAAGGTCGATGAGCCATCCGACAATATGATCATTAACAATAAGGGACAGCCTATTACCAATAACAATGTCTCCGACGACGACGAGGAATCTGGGAAGCCACCCAGGAACATGGTTGCTGAGGGCCAATGCTATCAGCTCTCAAGTTTCCGAAATGAATACCAGCCCACTACAGACCACGGTGGCTTTGAAGAGGATATGGATGCTGAGGGCTCTGAGGAGGACATGGATGCTGAGGGCCCTGAAGAGGACGTGGATGCTGAGGGCTCCGAAGAGGATATGGACGCTGCGGGTGGGGAACAGCCTATTACAAACAACGATGGCTCCGACAAGAACATGGGTATCAAGGACGGAGACGAGGCCAATAACGCCATCAATGTCGAAAGCAACAGTGACCCCAGACGGCGTCGGCCGCGACAACGCTTGCCTGGTATGGTTAATTGGACATCGCGAAATTAGAAGAAAAAGAGTAAGAAAATGCTTCGCACCGCGTGGGAGGAGGTACAGGAGCAGCGGACTAGAGTTTATACGCGCAGGATGCTCCGCGGATTTAAGCGGATCAGAAGTTTTGAAAAGAAAATAAAAAGTGCGCGCGACGATGGTCTGCCCCCTGGGACGGCGCTTAAACTTTGCAGCTGGTGGAAGGAACATGAACGGCGATTACTGCGAAAACCACAAGCTAGACCACACAAAGAAATCTTGTGCGAGTTTAGACAGAGTTTGGTACAATTGCAAGAGGCGGAGGCCGAGAGACTGAGCATTGCAGTCGCCATGGGCGATGGCGATAGCAACGATGATGACTATGATGATGATGATGATGATGATGATGTCTTTATTACGCCCGGCTCTAGCCTAGAGGGCACTAGTGCGTTATTACCTAAGCGCTTCCTTAGTAATGGCTTAACTCCTTGTAGCCCTTACATGCCTCCTGCTCTGCTATCTAGCGTAGTTGTTACATATCCCTCTAATTATTTATAGTAAGTCTTTTTAAAGTCTTTTTTTTAAGTGTTTAAAGTTCTTTTATTAGCAAGTAAAGCAGAGCCTGCTGTTATATTAAGTTAGTATTAAGCGTCTTTTTTCTACTATTATCTTTGTAGTTCTAGGTTCTTATTTTCTTTCTTGCTCTAGGTAGCTTATTGCTATTACGTACTTAACTATTATCTTTACTATGTTAATGTCTAGCAACTATTCTACTAGGTCTACTAGTGCCTTTTTTTTAAAAAAAAAGGGGAGGTTTTTTTTGTAGTTTTTATTTACTAAAGTATTTATATTTAAAGTGTGTTTTATTTTTAGGATTAAAAAAGAAAGTGCTAAATAGTTTTTTTTACTTAACTATATATGCATATGTTTAAGTCTGCAGCTTTTATTTAGTTTAAGTATATATTTAGCTATGTTATTTTAGTTTATAATTATGCTAGTATCTTTACTTTTTACTAAGTTAAAGTGTTATAAAGCTTTTTAGTATGTTTTTTTTAGTAAAGCTATATCTATTTTACGCAAGTATCTTTTTACTTTTATTAGTAAGTTTTTTTTTTATTTTTAGTTTTTTACTATAGTCTTAGTTACTGTTAACCTTACTTAGTAAAAAGGTTTAGTTAGTACACTACTATTTACTATAGCTTTTTTTACTAAATTATTGCTTTTTACTAGGCACTATACTATATATATAAAGCACTGCTTTTTCTTTAGTGCTTAAGTTGTGTTATAAATTTGTTTAATGCTAGCTTAGCTAGACTAATTTTATAGTTAGTATATTACTTATATAGCTGCTAGTAAGAATAATAACCTAGTCTACTATCTAGCATGTTAGAAGGGAGGTTAGCGCTGCCGCTATTGCTGCTAGCTCTGCTGTGTAGGGGTTTTGCTCTGTTCTAGGTCCTAAGGTAAAAGATAAGGTAGCAGCTTAAGTAGGCACTCTCTTTTACATGTTATCTATTACCTCTCCTATCCCTACTATACTAAGCTAGATAGATGCGCTTGTTGTAATTTTAATACTATTATACTAGTTAGCTAGTGTTATAGCTTTTACTTAGTCTAGTTTAATTATTACTAAAATATAATAGTTTTATAGCTATATATTATATAAATTAATTATTTTTATTTAGTTAGTATTAAGCCTTTTTAGCTATTTTATAATTTTTATTAGCAGTAATTAAAACTATTAAAAGCCTATAATATAAAATTTTAACATAAAGTTTATTTTTAGTAGTATATAGATATTAATCTACATCTTAATAGCTCTTACTGTGTAGTGTTTATACACTATTTATAGACTTACTTTTGCCTCTGCTATAGCTGTAGTAACTATCTAGAAGCAGCTTATAATAGCTTAAGCTTTTATTTTTTATATTTTATTTATTACTTTTATTAAAATTATGCTGTAAGTGTGCATTTATATACTTAATGCGTAGTCTACTACTAGTGCTACTGTAAACTTAAAAAGCTGCTAGGCTGTAGTAGAGAAGACTATCTATAACTGCCTTAGCGCTAGGGCTGCCCTTAGGCCCCTTGCTGCTGCCCTTACTATGTGCTGCTTATATCTTAGCCTTATATTTAAAATAATTCTTAGGATTTTAGCTTTTATTATTAGTTTAACTAGCTATTTTTTAATACTTACTAGTATTACACTTATTTTACTTTTATTTTTATAAAGTGTATTAGAGTAGTTTTATTTTTTTTAAAAGTTACTTTACTTTTTTTTTTTTACTTTATTACTTTTTTAATAATGTTTTAAAGTTTTATATAATTTTTTTTAGCTAAAAGTTTTATTACTTAAGTGTTATAGTTATTTAAAAAAGTAAATAAACTACTAAAAGCATTAATCTAGTGTTAGACTAAATTAGTGTTAAAAAAAGAAAAAAAATTAAAGAAAAAAAACCCTATAAAAATCTTACTTAGAGTAGTAGTTTTTTCTTAGACGTGTAGCTGTTAACTATAATAGTTGCTATATAATTAGAGCAAAAGGCGTCTATCTATTATACTAGGCCTAGTAGTATCCCTCTAGCACAGAGCCTCTAGGTTAGCCTGTCTTTACATACTCTATTATATGCTCTTTTTATGTTAAAGCTTACTAGACTTAGCACTTTTTTAAATTTTTATATGTTATAAATGTGTTTTTATAACATTAATAGTGTTTATTTTACTAATTACTATTTTTTTTTACTAAAGTAGTTTATAAAAAGTAACTTATATATTTTTATTATATATAAGATTTTGTTTACTATAATAGCTTTAAAAATCTTGCTAAGAGTTAATAGTAAAAAATAGGTTTTTATAACTTTACTACTTTATAGTTACTTTTTTTTAGCTTTTTAAGTAGAATAATCGAAGTGTTTCTTTACTATACTAAGATAACTCTTTTCTCTAGTAATGTTTAAAATAAAAGTAGGATTCTCTTTTTTACAACTAGCTATAGCTCCCTCTATACTATAACTAGAAGCCTATTATTACCTAGTGCCTTCTACAGCTTAGCTGTAAACAGACAGCATTCTATTTTGTTTATAGTTAGGTTAGGCATGCTAACTAAGCTATGTTACTAGTGTTTACTTTTATTTTTAATAGTGTCTAAAAGTAGTACAAAAAATAACTATAGTAACTTATTTACTATTTCTAGATTTTCTTTTATGCTTAATTTATTAGTTTTTTTTAAAAAAAGTATTTTATTAAATGTTATAGCACTATTTAGCTTAAGGTATTTTATAGCTTTCTAAATATTAGCATTATTTACTAAAAAGTTCTTTTAGTAGGTTTTACGCTGTTACTATGTTATATTATACAATTCTTTTACTACTACTTTTACTTATTATTTTATTTTTATACTTATTTTTTTTACTTACTATTCTACTTTTACTTTATTTTTTTAGTGCATATATACTTTTTATAACTGTGTAAGGTCTATAGTCTACTATCTTTTTACATATAGTAAGGGCCTAGCTTTTAAGGTTAGCTTGTAGACTACCTTTATTACTACTTTTATTAGCCTATTTGTCTATTACTATACACTGCTTTTTATTAGTTTAGCTTTAAGTGTCTTTTTAACTTTTATTTATATTACTTTTTATAGTGCATTTTTAAATAATAGTCTTACTTCTACTTATTATTTTAAAGTGTTTATATTAAAAGTTATTTTAATTACTTTATAATCTAACTTATGTTCTATCTTATAGACTTTATAGTATAATGCTGTGGCTACTAAGTTGTCTAAAGTTAGTATTAAATTAATAGTGCTTTTACTTATTCTTTGCTGCTATGTTTTTATGCCTCTAGAAAGTAAGCTATAAAGTAAATAGTTTACTATAAAGTGTATAATAAAGTCTACTTTACTTTAGTAAGTGTTTAACACATTATTTTCTTTTTATAGTTAGTTATGTTAGTTAAAATTACTTACTAAGACTATGTCTACTTATGTTCTAGTTTAGTTATGTGTAGTTTAAATTAAAGTTTAAATATAATTTATTATTTTTTTTAGTGCTTATTTATTTTTTATCTTAATATAAACTAACACTACTAGGACTATTTAACTAGGTAGTTGTAGTGTTACTACTATAAGGTCTAGTAACTATACTAGTAGCTATTTAGCCTTAATGTCTTTCTATATCTAGAGCATACTCTAGAAGGGCTACCTCCTGTTCTTACATGTAGTTAGTGTAAATTTAGCCTAGTACGTGTGTCTAGCTAGTGTTATAATAATCCTTTTTTTTATTTTTTTACACATAAGGTTTTTAAATAGCTAATATAGTAAAGTTTTATAGTTATTTATTATTTATTATGCTATATAGTACTTTATGTTTTTTTTATATTAAGTTAGAATATTTTAAGTGTTTTAAGCATTTTAACTAGAGTATAGTACTTAATAGTTCTTAAAAAAAGATTTATAAAGGCCTTTATAAAGTATATATTTAAAGACTATTACTTAGCATTTACTATAGTAGTGTCTTTTGCTAGCGCACCTAGCATAAACCTGCTACTTTGTGCATGTAAATGCCTTATGCTCTAGCTATTAGCATTAGTAGCACTATAATAGTTTATTTTATAGTTTAAATAGTCTTATATATGTAGATTCTTTGCTAATGTAGAAGTACTATTTTTATAGCAGCTAGGCTGCATTACTGCTTTTAGTAATATACACTACTATTAATTTATATACTTTTTTTAAATTGTTTTTACTTAGCTAGCTAACTTTTACTACTTACACTTTATTTTTAGCTTTAAAGGCTTTTAAGGCTTTTAGTTAGATTTTTTTTTTAATAGCACTACTAGCTAGTTAGTGTTATCTACTTTAATTAAAAAAAGCTAGTTATGTAGTATTTTAACTTTTTTAGCTACTGTCTTATAAGCTACTTTTTTAACTACTTAAAGCTTAGTTTTATTTTTATATATAACTCTAATTTAATTAGTGTTCTTTAAGTCTTTAACTACTACTACATATTACTATTTTATGTACTTATAGTTTATTTATA